TTGCTTCTTGGAACACCAAGAAATGGGACCTCCCAGAAATTTGAACAAGTACCCAGAGGTACTTCTTCTGTCAACTCTGTCTCCACACCGATCAGAATCTGAATAACTCAAAAGTTCTGACTCATTCTTTCTTCCAGAAGGAAATAACACCCCATACTTCGGAGTTCCCTTGATATACCTTAGAATCCTGACAGCAGCTTGGTAATGAGACCACTTAGGTTTACTCATGAACCTACTAACCATCCCAACAGAATAGCAAATATCAGGTCTGGTATTGCACAGATACCTCAGAGAACCAACCAACTGTTTGAAGGTTGTAGCGTCCACATCCTTTCCATCAGAGTCAGAATCTAGTTTCTGATTTGTATCAGAAGGTGTGACAGCAATCTTACAATTCTTCAGTTCAAATCTCTTCAGAAGTTCTAATTCATACTTGAGCTGATGCAAAATGATACCTTTCTCAAAATATCTGAACTCCATCCCTAGAAAGTATGTCATTTTGCCTAGATCAGTCATTTCGAATTCATTCATCAGAACTTTCTTGAACTTGGCTATCTCCTGTTCAGAACTTCCAGTCAATAGTATATCATCAACATATAAACATACCAGAGTCATATTACCTTCAGAAGTATGCTAAACATAGACATTGTACTCCATCTCACATTTCTGAAAGCCTTGCTTCTTGAAAAATGAATCAATCTTGTGATTCCAAGCTCTGGGCGCTTGTTTCAATCCATATAGAGCTTTGTATAATCTGTACACCATCCCTTCCTGATTCTTTTTCATAAATCCAGGAGGTTGTGACACCTAAACTTCTTCTTCTAATGGACCATTCAGAAATGCAGATTTTACATCTAAATGCATCAGAGGCCAATTCCTGTTAGCAGCTATTGCAATCACCATTCTGATTGTTTCATGTCTTGCTACAGGTGCAAACACTTCAGAGTAATCCAGCCCAGGTTTCTGTAGAAATCCTCTGGCTACCAACTTTGCTTTATGTTTTCCAATTGAACCATCTGGCTTTAACTTCTGCTTGAAAACCCATCTGACGCTGATGGCTTTCTTGTCTTTTGGAAGTTCTGTCTGCTTCCAAGTCTTGTTTCTCTCTATAGCATCAAGTTCTTCTTTCATGGCCTTCAGCCAGAGCTTCTGCTTAAGATCCTCTTCTGTACTTATGGGTTCAGAGTCTACTATCATGGCACACTGAATAACATTTCCTTCAGAGTCTACTTTAGTGTCTTGCAGCATGTCAAATTCTGCATATCTTCTGGGAATGTTTCTGATTCTTTGTGGTCTCTGAACTTGTTCAGAGTCTTGAGCTTCAGATGATTGACTTCCTCCAGAGCTTTGACCATCTTCAGGGTCTGGCATATTTCCAGAGTCTTGAACTTCAGAATTTCTAGCTTCAGAGGCTTGACTTCCTCCAGAGCCTTGGCCATCTTCAGAGTCTGAATTGCCACCAGAATCTGGATTACCATCAGAGTCTGGGTCATCAAAGTCACCTTCATCTTTTGAGTCTTCTCCAGAGTCAGAATCAACGTCAAAGTTTACTCTAACTTCAGAAATTCTTAACTTTGACCTTTCTTCAGAAGTTCTAACATCAGAATCAGATTGAGACTTATCCTAATTCCAAACTTTTGATTCCTTCACAATTACATCTCTGTTGAATTCAATTTTATTGGTTTCTGGACAATAGAGCTTGTATGCACCTGTACTGTGGTACCCTATCAGAATCATCACTTTGCTTCTATCATCCAGCTTCTGTCTTCTGGCTTCTGGAACATGTTTATAACAAACAGAACCAAACACCTTCAGATGACTAACACTTTGCTTATCTCCAGTCCACTTCTGTATTGGAACTATTTCCTTCAACTTCTTCGTAAGACAGCGGTTGAGTACATACGTTGCAGTGGCAACAGCTTCTCCCCAGAGCTTATGAGGAAGCTTCTTCTCCTTTAGCATGCTTCTCACCATATCAAGCAAAGTGCGATTTCTTCTTTCAGCAAGACCATTGTGTTGAGGGGTATAAGGAGCAGTAACTTCATGCTCAATTCCATTCTCCTCACAGAACTTCTGGAATTCTTTAGATTTATACTCACCTCCACCATCAGTTCTAAGAATCTTCAACTTCTGACCACTCTGATTTTCAGCCTACATTCTGAACTTCTTGAATTCATCAAACACCTCGTGTTTGAACTTAATAAGAGATACCCATGTCATTCTTGTGAATTCATCAACAAATAACACAAAGTATTTATTCCCTCCGATTGATGCTACTGGGAATGGACCACACACATCAGAATGTACAACTCCCAAGGCATGTTTTGCTCTTGGAGCAGCTTCTGACGCAAATGGCAATCGTGGTTGTTTTCCTTCCATGCAAACTTTGCATGACTTTTCAGGCTTCTTAATTGCAGGAATTCCATGTACCAACTTTTTTGAATTCATATGTTTTAAGCTCCTAAAATTCAAATGACCAAATATTTTGTGCCACAGCTCACTCTCCTTCTCAGCACTTGTTGCACTAAGACATTCTGAGTCTGCAGTTCTGACATTCACCTTGAATGTTCTATTCCTTCCCTGTTCTGACTCCATAATCAACTTCTGATTGCAGTCATACAGCTTCAGAAGATTGTCCTTCATGGTAACTGGAAAACCTTTCTCAATTAATTGTCCCACACTGATCAGATTGCTTCTGATGCCAGGTACATACCACATGTTCTGAATCAATGCTGTTTTCCCATTGTTCAGAATCACTTTGACATTTTCCATACCTTCTGCGTTAAGATATTTGTCATCAGCACATCTGATCTTTGTTCTCTTTTCAGAGTCAAAGTCAACCAGCCATTTCTTGTTTCCAGTAAGATGATTTGAACAGCCAGTGTCCATATACCACCAGTCTATCAGATCCATATCATCAGATTCAGAGGCCATTAATAGCACAGATTCATCATTAGAACTTCTGGCTATATTTGCTTCTTCTGATTTTATCTCCTTGTTTGACCAACAATCTCTAGCAAAGTGACCAAACTTCTTACAACAGTAACATTGGATCTTCTTCTTGTCATACTTCTCTTTTCCCTTCTGAGCATTCTTTTGTCTATCAGAGGTTGAGCTTTCTGACTTCTGACCACCATCAGATATTCTCCTGGCTTCTAACTGCTTCTGATACCTCCTATCAGAAGTTGCTTTCAGAGCCTGCTGCTCTACTTCCTTTTCAGAAGTTCTCTCAGTCAAACGCAACTCTTGCGCTTCTAGACTGCTCTTCAATTCTCATGGTGCTCAGATCTTTGGAATGTTCTATTGCTACCACAATGTAATCAAATTGAGAGGTAAGGGATCTCAATACTTTCTCCATGATTGCTTCTTCAGAAAGAGTTTCTCCACACGCCTTCATCTCATTAGTGATCAGAATCATTCTGGAGATGTATTCAGAGACTTTCTCATTATTCTTCATGTTGAGATTCTCATATTGCTTTCTCAAGGACTGAAGTTTTACCTTCTTCACTGATGCGTCACCACCATAACATTTCACCAATGTGTCCCACACAGCCTTTGCTGTCGTTGAATCTGCAATCTTCTCAAACACATTTACATCCACACATTGATGAATGAAGAACAATACTTTCTGATCCTTCTTCCTTACTTCCTTCTGCGCGTTTTTCTGTTCATCCGTCGCATTTGCTGCTACCGGAACATAACCATCAGTGACAAGATCTAGAACATCCTGAGCACCGAACAGTACACGCATTTGGATCATCCAACGATTCCAGTTTTTACCGTCAAATACTGGAAGTTTGGTGTTCATGTTGTCATTTCCGTTCATCTTCTACCTTGCACAGTACACTCAGATTTCTCACACACAGTGTTTCCCAACCCACAGAATTAAAATTCTGATCAGATTTTGTTCAAGATTCAACACGAATCTAAGAATCAAAATCAAACACACAAGACCTTACGTTCACTCGTGTTTCCCGTGTTTCCCAATGAATCCGAACCAGGCTCTGATACCAATTGTTGGTGCAAAGGTAGAATAAATGATGAATAGAGAAATATGTTATTAAGAGAATGACGGCTACACACAACCACACAAATTGCAATGATTGCTACCCTATTTATAAGCTAACACTAGGGTTACTAGAATAAGATAAAATACTAAAATACCCTCTAACAAACTTAGGGGCTACGAAAATAGTACAACTAATAAATATGAATTACTTCTAATAGTATTATTAAAGTAAAAATTAAATCAACTACTTTAAAATGATGTGGCTCAATAGATTAAAAAAAAACTCAAAAATGGATAGCACCTTGGAGATACTTTTATCCCCAGCAGCAATGTAGATATTTAATTTCAAATAAAAAAAAATGATTCAAATTTTTTTTTCTCTAATAATAAAGAAGAAAAGTGGTTAGTGACAAAATGAAAATTATTTCACTAAAGAAGTTTGAGTTGGCTTTCCAATAATAATAATCATCTTCTTTTACTTGAAATGATATATACTCCTTCAATTTTACCCGTCAACATTATATTTTTAAATTAAAAATATTATTATAATAGTCTATGCATGTATTTAGTCTTTATTATTATTATTATTTTTTTTTTGGTAGTTTACCGTTATCTCCATTTTAAATAATTACATTTATGGTGTGTTAATATTAAATATGAGTGTTTCTATAAATAAGGATTTACTATTTTATAAATAGAAATGATAAATAAATTGAAAAAAAAAATGATATTATTACTATATATTGAATTATAAACCTCCAACGTAACAATGGAGTATTGATTAAAATATTGTTGTCCTCTATAGGGTGATGTTTGGTGGGCCATAGGTGGCAATATATTATTGTGAGAGAAAGAATCTGATGAGAAAAATGCTATAGAGAGTGCCTCCAAATTCAATCAACTTAATCCAATTATAATATTATTTAGTTTGTTACTCCAAATACATTTCCTTAAACTAAATCAAATAAAATACTAGTTAAATTTATGTTCTATGAATGTGGATTCTCTGTTATCTTTATATAGAATCTATTTCTGTCAAAATATTCTCATACAAGCCATGGATACTCTCACACTTTCTTTGGGTTTTTTCTCTCTCTTTTTGTTCTTCTTTCTTCTAAAGAGATCTACTCACAAACATTCCAAGCTTTCCCATGTACCAGGTATATATCTTATGGAGTATGTAGCACTTAGAAGGTGTTTCTGGTGCATGTATGAATGGATTGTTAGGTGAATAATGAAAGTGTGTTTTGGTGTTTGCAGTGGTTCCAGGTTTGCCAGTGATTGGGAATCTGCTGCAATTGAAAGAGAAGAAACCTCACAAGACATTCACAAAGATGGCTCACAAATATGGACCCATTTTTTCCATCAAAGCTGGTTCTTCCAAAATCATTGTTCTCAATACTGCTCAACTTGCCAAAGAGGTCCCTTTTCCTTCATCAAGTTCATGAAAATTTCTGCTTAATTTATTATCATTTGTTTTATTCATGCTTAGTTTATTACTTTAAATCAAACCTTGGATTGTCTTTTGTCTCATTATAATTCACATGTTGTTCCCCTAGTGCTTTAGGCCAGATCTGTCACTGACATTTGAACCCTATGTTGGATGTTAGTTGACAACATTCATTTGTTTCTGTATTTTTAGACTAATTAGTACGTTGAGGCGATGAAAATGATCTTGAGTCCATGAAATTATTTGTATATGTGGTTAATGGAGTTATAATATTGTTCTATTATTTTAGGCAATGGTGACTAGATATTCATCCATTTCAAAAAGGAAGCTATCGACTGCACTGACGATTCTAACTTCTGATAAATGTATGGTTGCTATGAGCGACTACAATGATTTTCACAAAATGGTTAAAAAACATATTCTTGCAAGTGTTCTTGGAGCCAATGCACAGGTTCGTTACAAAATGGTTACACACTCTTTTCTCTTTGGACGAAAGTGTCTCTGATGCGTGTTTTTGTTTGTACAGAAGCGACTCCGTTTTCACAGAGAAGTTATGATGGAAAATATGTCCAGGAAGTTTAATGAACATGTGAAGACCCTCTCAGATTCTGCTGTTGATTTTAGGAAAATATTTGTGTCTGAACTTTTCGGACTAGCTCTAAAGCAAGTGAGTCTTCTCGTTTTTATATAAAATTAAGAAGAATTTTCGGAGAATAGAATGACGCGGCATAAAATTTTACAAAACCCTGACCTTGTGGATAATTTGCAGGCTCTGGGAAATGATATTGAGTCCATTTATGTGGAGGATTTGACGACTACATTATCACGAGAGGACTTATATAACACTCTAGTGGTTGATTTTATGGAGGGTGCAATTGAGGTGGATTGGAGAGATTTCTTTCCGTACCTGAAATGGATTCCAAATAAGAGCTTCGAGATGAAAATCCGTAAAGTGGATCGCCAAAGAAAAATTATAATGAAGGCACTGATTAACGAGCAGAAGAAGCGGTTGGCATCAGGAAAAGTAAGTGTTTCTTGTTTGCAATTTCAAAATTACGCATAAACCTTGATAGTTATCTTAACTTGATTGTTTGGGATGGAACAGGGCTTATATTGTTATTATGATTACCTAGTATCAGAAGCTAAAGAAGTGACTGAAGAACAAATGATTATGCTGCTCTGGGAGCCAATTATTGAGACATCCGATACTACCTTAGTCACAACAGAATGGGCTATGTATGAACTTGCCAAAAACAAAAATCATCAGGTAGATAGTTTGACTTTGCATCTAGCTGACTCTTAGAATTTAGACTCGGGCATATCCCATCTAGCGGTTGTTTGTTTGTTCTGTCACATTGTCGCTGATTACATGTTAATATGGCAGGACCGTCTGTATGAGGAGCTCCTAAATGTATGTGGACATGAAAAGGTTACAGATGAGGAGTTATCTAAGCTACCTTACTTGGGGGCTGTATTCCATGAAACATTAAGGAAACACAGTCCAGTTCCGATTGTCCCGCTAAGATATGTTGAGGAGGATACCGAATTGGGAGGATATCATGTTCCTGCTGGAAGCGAGGTTGATCGCTTTTTCCTCTAAGTAAAATGTATATATTATCTTCTATATGATTGATTGAGTGACTGATTTTTGTTTCTTGTTTACAGATTGCAATAAACATATATGGATGCAACATGGATAGTGACTTGTGGGAAAATCCTGACCAGTGGATTCCAGAGAGATTTCTTGATGAGAAATATGCCCAAGCGGATTTGTACAAGACAATGGCCTTTGGCGGAGGGAAGAGGGTATGTGCAGGCTCTCTTCAGGCCATGTTGATAGCTTGCACGGCTATCGGCAGATTGGTACAAGAATTTGAGTGGGAGCTGGGACATGGAGAGGAAGAGAATGTGGATACAATGGGCCTTACCACCCACAGGCTTCATCCCTTGCTAGTCAAACTTAAGCCAAGAAACCATATTTACTAAGTGCAAGTCATAGTATAGTCATCTCAAATCTACGACATAAACTAGTTTGATAAATAAAGTTCCCTATAATAAGGGTTTTGTTAAGTTTGCTGTATCATCTGTAGTTTTTCATTCAGGTATGGAAAATCATAACCTTGTGTAAAACTATGAATCAATAACAGTGACTTGATTGCCAAGAGAGGCTAGTTAGTTTTGTTTGTCTGCCGTCTCTCTTGTTTCCAAATACTTTCATTTCATTCATTTGTTCCTTTGTCTTTTTTATCGTGCCGATCCTCTTCTGTCTTTTCTGTTGGCACAGCTATTTTTTATTGGCTCTCTTTTTTTACAGAAAACAAAACTGTTGTTGCTCTAGTATCTAATTTGGGGGCTTTATTTGAGATTACTTCTCTAAATAAAGTGCATTATACAAAAAAAAATCTTCCTAGCTGAAATGAACACAATTTGTTGCAGGATCAAAGAGTAGCTTGGAATTGAATTTAGTTAAAATAGTAGCCATGTTTACAAAGTCTTAAACATGTAATAGTAATGAATTGCTCATCTGAACACAACGATATTTGGATGGCATTATATCTTCCTAGCTGAAGATTAGACAAAATCAACTATTAGTTCTTTCCTGGAAGGGACTCCTCTAAATCAGAGGTTAAATTGATTGTGCGGAAATGAGGATTTCCCATTACACTATGCAACAAAGTTTTGCATCAATGGAAGCCAAACATATGGAAAACGCCTGGTAACCAGTCAGAGGATATCTGCAAAATTTAGTAAATTCATATGAAACATTAAACAGAAAATATGAAGCTCAAGAAAACTAGAGTATTTGAATCAATACCTATAGTCCATAACAAACTTAGATTTTGCCACCCTCCCTAGCTGCAAAATTATCTGCTTCCCATTCTCCTAATAACCGTAGTAAAGACAAGTCAGCTAAACACGAAAATACAACACAGAAACACTTCCATGATGATGATGACGATGATTGATACCTCTAAAGTGAGCTGAAAGTTTTTAACTGATTTCTGAATAACAAGTCCTGTCCTTCCTTTATCTCTATAGTCAAGCTCAAATTGCTTTGTACTCTTGAGGAAGATAGTAGAAATTAGAAATACAAATTAGTCAAAGTCCAATAGATCCATGACAAATAAAATTACCTTGTTGTAGAGTGGATCCTTTGAGTATAGTTGATGAACTTTGTCCAACTTTCCCTTCCAATTCAGTGGCAAACCCTTAATATGTTGCACCTGTGAAGTGTTCTTGAAAGACATAGATTGATGATTAGGTATATATGCTTTGATGCTTCTATGAGTTCCTGTACATGTTGGTATTGTAGGTACATACTCAACAACAGCAAGAGGCTGCTTTGAATTCGATTGATTACTATTGGATTTGGAATTAGGAAGATGTTTCTGATCCCAAATGTTGTATTTTGAGCCAGTGAGGTTCGCCGTTACTGTCCCAAGGAAAGTTTCGTCCGAATAAGAGAGTAATCCTTTTACATTCTGAGCTACTGTGAACTGTGATTTTCCATTTCTCCGCCGCCTGTGGCAGGCTACAGCCAGTTTCCTATTCTGCCGTCCCTGACCTTCGTAGGTGTATAGAGAGAAGAAGGTGGTTGCAGAGAGACCCTGAGGGATTGGTTCTTTGACAATAACACATGTACATCTTCCAATATCTATAGGTAATGGTCTACAAATCAAAGACCTGAAATGAAACACAAGATAAAAGTTACTATGAAGTACAGACACCAGAAACATGACATCAGAGGTGTCGGTGCTACATAGAAAAGTTAAGCATAGTGATTTTGTGAGATTGGTTTACTTGTTAGGTAAAGTGGACCAAGAGGAAGCAGGAGCAGCTTCGGAATCAGAGTAGTCCCAGATTTTGAGAGAGTTAGAAAAGTGAGAAGAATCGTTGATTTGCATGCAGAACTGTAATGAAGAAGGCTTAACAATTCTGGTTGATAACGATTTGGATTTTGGAAGAGAAGGAAAAACATTGACATTGGTGTTTTCCTTGTTGTCTGTTACGTTGCTGCAACTGCGACGAGTAGTATTGGTTTGGATCTCGCTGAGGGGATTTGAAAACATGCGACCGAGGTTTTGGTTTTGGTTGTTGTTCTTCATTTGGTGGTTTGTTTTGAACAATGATGTTGTTGTGTTTGGGTGATTTATATTTGAATAGGTGGTAGTTCGGTGGGTGGGTCCTATTGGTTACTTTTTATGTTTTGGTTTGAATTTGAAAAAGCTTTGGGTAACGCAATAATGTCTCTATTTAGTTTGTGAGTTTTGTCTTTGGTGAGGCTAACGGTAACTATTTGACTCAATCTCAGTCTCATGTTTTAGTTTAGTACACAAAAGGATACTTTTCAACACAAATAAAGTTCACAAAACGCTTGTCTTCTTCTAAGTGGGGTTTCTATCATTTAGTACTCCACACTTTTATTAGACAAATTTTATTTATGTTCTTCTTTTAATATTTTGTATGAACCAAGTATTATTTTGGTGCTGTTATACAAACTAACTAATACAGTTGAGTACTCTTTTTGTTCATTTAGAGGGATTAATTAATCAAAGTTTATAGACAGTGTTCAAAAATCGGATCGAACTGGTCGGTCGGATCGGTTGAATCGAGAATCGGAGAGGTCATCGATGGTTTGATTGTTAAATCAGATATGCTATTGAATCAGTGGGAACCGGCTAGAACCTGCCAAAACTGCTAAAAGCCGGTGAATCGACGGTTTAAATACATGTCTTTTTTTTCTTCAAAATAACGACGTCATTTTGATAATTTATTTTTTAAAAAATAAAATTAAAATAGAAGTAGACTTTATTCAAAACTTATTTGGAATAATTTTTCTTCGTTTGTAATTAGATATTGTTCAAAATTTATTTGGATTTGTATTTTGTACTATTTTGTCGTGGGTGATGACTACGCCAAGAGTTTGAATTTAAAGAATGAACTTGTGAAATTATGATATTTTGAAATTTTGTAGGTGTCATGATATTTTTTAGAGACCGAGTCATCCGGTTCGAGCGATTTATTAAATATATAGTTTTTTATAGAGGCTGATTTATTCATCTGAGTTATCTGATTTAATCTGGTTTAGTCATGTGGTTCAACCAGTGACCCAATAGTTCGACCATTGAACCAGTGATGCAGTACCTTTACCGATTTAATGACTGGTCCGATTTTTAAAACATTGCTTATAGAGATTAGAGGAGACAAACAGTATGTTAGTTGCATTCAGGTTTGTTATGCCAAAACCCTAAGAAAACGAGGTGGAGTGCAGCGCGCATTTTGTAGAATGCGTGTTTAAAACTTTGATCGAACCCTTAAAAAAATGAACGCAGGGCGAGAAGAGCCTGTGCACACTGCACCTTTTTAGGTTGAAATTTTTTAAAATTCATGTTAATGTTCGCATCAGCTAAATCTCGAAGAAAAAAACGGGACAGTTACGCAAGGACATTAAATACAGCGACACATATTTAAACAAGTGACATTCCATTTATTCACTTTTAAAAGGTGAAATTCTAATCACTTAACTACTTGACAAAAAACAAGACTAACTAATCGATAGACTAAGTTGGATAACATTTCGATGTCAAATAATGTGTGATTTAATTTTATGTATTTTTTTAAAATATTGATTTATAAATATTTTGTTTAAATTAATGCATTATGAAAAAAATATACAAAGAAATGCTTTTGTCAAGGGCTGAACAAAGAAATGTTTCTTCTTAGTGGCTAGCATCTCCGCTATGACAACTTATCATTGTTAAAAAAATAGTTGTGTGGCACGTATTAGTTTTATCAGAGACTATAATGAGAGTCAAATGTAATAGAAAAGTAATTTTATCGATGAGAGGCAATAAAGTCTCAATTAGAAACTCTTTGAATCGTGTCTCTTTGTTTTTTTTGGGTGATAAGTTGCTTATAGAGTAATTATGATATTTTTTGCATTTAAAGCACGTGAAGGACCACTGAAGTGATTTTTTTTTATTAAATATAATCTCTTAATGGGAATTGAAATTTGATTCTCATATTGTCAGATCTCGTGTTATAATGTTTTCCAATTAGCCATACATATACATTATGTTATGCATTTAAGTCTCTTTATTCGGTGGTTGCCTTTATGGTATTTTTGGTGCACCCTCGTTCATTCAGACTCTTTCGATTTTATTCTATAGTTCAGTCTAGGGGTGTACGCGGTTGGGTTGGACCGGGTTCGCCTTAACCCGTTACCCAACCCGGTCAACTTTCAATGGGTTGGGTTTATCATCAAACCCGTAATTCTACTTTAAAAACCGACCCGAATCAACCCGGATATTTACGGGTTGGGTAGGGTTGGGTCCACGGGTTGTGTATATAATAATTATTATTTTCAATTTAAAAAATCTATAACACAATTCAATATAATTTTGCATATTTCAAACAATTAAATTATTTACGTAGTGGAGACAAATCCTACATATAAAATAGAATAATTAAAAATATAACAATTAAAATTTTGAAATGTATTTTCTTTGTCATAAAAAATATTAAGATACATATACACCATTAATTATTTATATATTTTCATTAATATACCTTAATTTATAAAAATTTATTAGTTATTTTGATACTCAAATGTTATCCATTACAAATATATATCAACATATGTAAAACAAATATATAATAATATACAGTATATATTAGTTGTTTTGATACTCAAATATTACCTTTTCTAGCACATGCTTAAAAGTAGGTCCGTAAACTATCATATATATTAACACTTAATAATATATAAAATTCCATAAAATATCATTTCCATAAAATTCATAAATTCTAAATAATTCAAAAGCAAATAAACATCACTTAGTCTTAAAATGACATAGATGTATTGGTCCAATATTGGTCTAATAGCACCAAAATCTAACAGCAACTATAAAAGATTCCAGCACCAGCAGTGAAAGGTTTAGCAACAACAGAAAATCCAGCAACAACAGAAAATCCAGCAACAGTAGCCGTAAAAGATTCCAGCAACAACAATGAAATTGTTAGCAACAACATAAAATCCAGCAACAACAGTTAAAAGTTTAAGCAACAATAGTCAAAAGAAGAAGAAAAAAAACAACACTAGAAAATACCTTAAAATCTAGTAGTAACAGTTGTATTGAGCTCAACCGCAGTAACGCCAACATCAATAGAAACTAATCCAGCTAACTCTATATATGTAAACACAAACAACTAATAAGAATAATGTAATGTAATACTAAAATAAAATAGATTTTAAAATTCAAACCTATAATTCATACCTGACTCAACCTTTTCCAATTCAACCAACTCTTTTTCTAAATCAATGACCTTAGGAGATTTGATCCAATTTTGAGTACAAATCAAAGCTTCAACGGTAGAGGGATTCAAGGAACTACGAAATGAATCAAGGACACGACCTCCTGTACTAAAAGTGGATTCAGAAGATACAGTGGATACAAGGATAGCCAATATATCTCTAGCTATGCGGGAAAGCACATGATATTTATTTGTTTTTCCTTTCCACCAAGTGAGAATATTAAATGTAGGAGAATCATCTTCAACACCATCCTCCAAATACCTTTCCAACTCATTTTTTTGCACTTCACATTGTTTTTTCTTCATATTCATTCTAAACAAATTGTCCCAATCTTCATCATCTTCACCATTTTCAATTCTAGAATGAGAGGCAATGTTTGAAGATGAGGCATTGGAACCACCATCATGAGAAACAGGATACAAAAATAAATAGTGCTCAAACAATTTAGCAATGAGAGATTTCAATTTCTTTAACATATCCTCTGACAATTTTTCACCATACATCCGAGTCAAAAGTCTAGAAGTGCATAAGTCAAGCAAGCATGATTAATATTAATAATAATGTTTAATTATAATAATAATAATAATTTAATGTGTGATTGGAAACCGGAAGGAAAGTGCAAAAGATCTTTGTGTACGTTACAATTTACAAAGTTATAGCAACTTTAAAATTTATAAATAATAATATAATAATAATAATAATAATAATTAATTATGCCACGTCAACGGGTTGGGTCAACGGGTTCATGGGTTTAGAAACTAAAACCCAATATCCGAACCAAATCTATACGGGTTGTTACGGGTTGGGTCGGGTATACCCGTAAATGAATGGGTCCGGGTAATTAGTGGGTTGGTTCGGTTTGGGTAGGCGGGTTTGCGGGTCGACCCGCACCCATGAACACCCCTAGTTCAGTCCATTCTTAAGATGTGTGCTCCTTAATTATCCAATGAGTCTAAATTAGAGATGCATATCTGAATAATCTGATAAAAGACAAAGTTGCATGATCACGCAATCATTATTGTCATTATTGTTTTCCGACACAAACCCTCACCAAAAACTCTTATATTATAAATTTATTTTTCACTTCAAAACTCCAATCTTGTGGTTCATCACATCAAAGGGAGAAAAAGAAGTTAGAGTTTCAAGTAAATATAATTTATTTCACACATTAATCATGCATTCTTTTCTGAAAAAAATGAGCATTGTGGCCAGAAATGTATCTATGGAACGAGTATGAACTTATCCGAAAATGCATTTTTGAAACTTGTCTGTGTTTATTTTTCAACTCTGTTTTCAGCAGTAGCGCTTATATACTGTTATGTTGTAATTGTTTTTATTAGATATGGTGCACCCCAATACTTTCTCAAAATAAGTTGTTTCTTCAAATATCCAAAGCGTTGTTGTGAAGGTAGTTGATATTGACAACCAACTTAAAAACGAACAAAAATTTGAGTCTCATGATCAAAAGCCTCTAAACCTAGATTTGAATCCACACAAAACCTCGAGACTTAATTTGAGTCTCGTGTAAACTAAAACACAAAAAATGTCATTCAGGACTTAATTTGTAACTTTTTCATAAGATTTTTGGTGGTAATAAAACTATTATAGAAGGCATTTGAGCCTTTTTCATTCTTTTGTTATTTTAGATCCGAAAAATTCAAATTTTAAACCAAAAGAATTGTTTGAATAAAAGAAAGAAGTTAATAGAACCATGAAGGAAAATGAAAGACTAAATATAAACAAGCATGAAAAGGGACACTGTAAACTAAATGTAAATTATCACCTTATATCTTTTAGGTTTTTTTTTTAAGTTGGTTTTTGAAAGGGAAGTTTTTAGAAAATTATGTCTATATTTTGAAATGTGTTTAATATTTTTTAAAAAATTTAAAAACAATATTATTTTATATGCTAATGTAATAGATTATTTTTTTTAATTTTTAAAAATATCACACACATTTTAAAATACACATATAGCCCTTTAAAACTTTTCCCTCAAACACCATCTAATAACCAATTCCCAAACAAATTTCAGATTATACCTTAATTTTCATATAGTCATTTGTTGTATTTTTTAATAAAAGTTTTTTCTATATAGAGGATTTTTTATGAGCAGATTATTTGTTTGAAGAAAAATTTCCAAAATTTTCATATAGTCATTTCTTGTATTTTTTAATGAAAGTTTTTTCTATATAGAGGATTTTTTATGAGCAGATTATTTGTTTGAAGAAAAATTTCCAAAAGACAACAAATGACAAGTTTCAAAACTAAAAGAGAGTTAAGTACATAAAGAGATGAAATAGAGATTTACTCCACCATCAAAAGTACAATGGAAAATGGTTAAACAACGTTCTATAGATGAAATAAACAGAAAATCAAATTAGAATGTGCTATTGAAAAACATAAAGCAACAAAAGAATAAAAAAGTGGGTGTTTTGTTCTGGAAAATGAGTATTTGAAAGTTCTTCAAAAACGGTGAGTCACTCTATAGAGATGCTTACTTTCACTTCTATATTTTCACTTATAAAGCTGGGTAACTTAAGAGTTTAAGCTAATAATAAGTTAATATATAACTACAATACAACTAAATGCATTTAAGAAATAGAATTGCTTGTAAATATTAGAGAACCAAAATCACTTAACGTAGAGCTAAAAGTGCGATTTTCATTTGGACGAATAAAAATAGAATTCTCAAATTAGTGAGGTACTTTTTGTTTTCCTCTTATAAGAGGGAACAAAAGTCTATTAAAGGGAAGATACAAACGCTGTTATACAATCTAAACCAAACCAAAACCAAAATCATTAATAATATGAAGTAGAATATATCAAATCCAAATCAGAAACTCTATCACATAAATCTCCCTAGAAAGACACGGCAAGAAGAAAATTTTCAAACCCCCCTCCTTGCAAAAATAAGAAAAAAAGAAAAAAAAACCTGAACAAAACTATGAACCAATGTAGGTTAAAATTTTAATCCTCAAAATCTGCAGCATTTTCCAGTAAGTAATTGGCCGCCAATTGCTCATTGCGGTCACATGCCAAAAATGCCTCTATAACTAAGGCTCTATCAAATCCCATAGCCTCTAGCTGCATATCAGTAAAATTGAATCAGAAATATGGTAAATCAAATTAAATGAAAAGAGTGCAAGTCAGATTTAGAAAAATAGATTTACCCTTCCGATTGCCTCCTGCTCAGCTGGCGTCACATTGATAGCATGAGGCATGTCTTGTTCCGGCTGATCAAAATTATCTCTAAATAGTAGAAGAGAGTTACATTCATAAATAAACTATGGAATCAAGGAATGAATATAAAATGCAAAGATGACATGTTAAATTATCTCAGACCATACATGGCAAGCAGTATATACTCACCCTTCAGAACCATCCATGGGTTCATTTATTAACTGGAGAAACTCGGCGTGGTGCTCATCAATAAGTCTCAATAGACTGGGATTTTGCTTTCCGAGCTCCTGAAGTACAGGCTGCAATAGAAATTATATCAGACTTTGACAGATGACCAAAAGTCAGGTATTAGGTGATTGAGAAAATAGATAGTTAGATACCTGGAGAATTTGTGGATTGGATTGCACCATTGTCCGTAATGCTTGAAACTGAATATGCCCAACATAGAAACATTAACTATAATTTATTGATGTTGGATACAAAAGAATAAAAAGTGCTCTGCAGTACAGTATTTTCTCTACTAATGAACATACTAATGATGTGCACCATATTGAATAGGCACAGCTATTTATGTTGAACTAGCTCCAATCGTATAAAAACAAAATCAATTTACCAGCCAACACAATACACCAAAAACCAAGATTTCTTGCAATATCTAGCGTAAGCTAATGTGGTGAAACTATATAAAGCACACAACATTGAATTTTTTGTTTCCTTTCTAGAAGTTTCTTTTACTTCATTTGCTCTTCTAAGCAATAGCATACGATTAGTAAACAAGTTAGCCAATATTAATGTTATGCACGGTATAAAAAATTTATCAAACAGTGACACATGATATGCTATTTGTAAATTACTATTTCTTTCAACACGGACGTGTCAAACATGAATTTGTCAAACATTTAGTGACACGCGGTATAAATTGTAATTGTGACCCGCCTCAGATTCCATTGCTACAACAAGTTTTAAATACAAACACTGTTTCTTTCAACATGGACGTGTCAAACATGAATTTCTTAACATTTAGTGTGTTGAAAATTATGAAATAAAAAGCCAACCTGGGGATTATTCCTCAAGAAGTCGAGCGATCCAGCTCCAGCGCCAGCACCAGAAATTGTCTCCTGAGAGAATTTCAACTCAAAATAAAGCACAAAGTAACAGCAAAACATGTAAACGACAAGGTAGAGACTTTTGTTACAACAACATCAACAACCAAGCCTTATCCCACTAAGAAGGGTCAGCTACATGAATCAAGTCACTTTTTGTTAATCCATTCAAATTATAATTTTCACCTGCGGAAACATATTCAAGGGGGCCGAGTTAGGGGCCCCAGGAATAACTCCAGTAGTGACACCACCAGTTTCAGTTTGATTATTTGGGTAATGAGGAGCCGGTACAGCAACTTCTGCTGTTTCAGGAATCCCCTGCAAATAATAAATAATTGTTATATCAAATAAGACACAGCAGAAAGTTCAAGAAGATAGAGTCTACAATGAGCAGTTTAGGCATACAGAATACAAATAATCTACAGCACGTTCAGGGTTATTGAAAGCTGCACGAAGAGCACGATTAACAGTATCTCTATCCCAGCTGCCTCCACCCATGTCCACAAGTTGTTGAATAGTCTGCTCAAGATTACTCCCAGCAACTAAATTTGAGGCAGCTTGACCATAAGTATCTGTAGTAACACTGCAGAAATGCCATTCAAATGTATTTCAGAAGCCTTGATTACACGAAATAGGAAAATGGCAAACTCAATTTGTTTATTGAAGCAAGTGGGTAAGATGTTTATGTTCGCTATGTTAATTCAAGGTGCAATTATAATTAGGAGATTTGAGTTAGTAAGTAGGAATTTAGGTTTAGTTATTTCGGTCTGGTACAGTATTCCCTAAGGTTGGATTAGGACTCTATTCTTCATTATAGATTAGCATTTTCCAGCCTAAAGTTTGGGTTCCCTGCAACAGTACAAGCTCATAAGACTTGTTCAAGAGTAATGTGTGATTGGTGAGGAACCAGAAAACTGATAAACAAGGCATCAATCAAATTTTAATTATAATATTAGATCAGGCTAACCTAAAAGTAATCAGACCAAATTCACATTACAACCATGACATTTTGCCTCTTGAAGAGAAACAATGTTATCAAAATCTTGATCTTAATCGTAAGATCTTACAGTTTCACAATCCCACAACATGCTAGCGATCTTGATCATGAGAAAAATCGCATTTTGATGAAATTGCAAAAGTGAAAAAATGTAGAAAGAATGATGTTGCCACAATGGGAGTAGAAGATTTTGAAAGCTTTACATATGTTGGAATAGAAAGGAATCAAAAGAATTAAACAGCAAATGAATAGTATAGTGTAAATTACTTTTGTTTATGTAAAGGGTGTTTAAATTCCCAATAATATGAATTTAAAAATAAATAAAAAAACAAACAAAACTTCCAATAAGGGTTCTCGAGTAATATCTGGCCAAATCAATAATATATATTATTTCAATATAGTTCTTTTTTTTTAATTTAGTAGGCTTTTACTATCTTGATTGCAATATTACGTTTCACGCTCTTGCGAACCCCTCTTGTAAAACGGTAAATAGTTGGGTAGGATCTTACTATCCTAATTACAGTTATACTAACGATTAAAAGAATAGCTTTTTGATAGACGATCATGACAAAAAAAACTATTTAAAGGAAATACATAGTATGCAAACTTGGTTAGAAACAGAGACAAAAACCATACTTTGTAATTGGGACATCCTCTGCGGATGTATTGTTGTTTACAGATCTGCTCAGCCAAATAAAATAAGTTATGAAAAAATAGAATTTGATGAAAAAAATAATATAAGTATTTCAAATAAACTCACTGTGTTTGTACTACAGGTGTGGAATCTGGTGTTGGCACAGCTATGGGTGGATTGCTAGCATTCTGCCACACATGCACAATCACTAGCTCATACAAAGGGGAAATACTTAAATGCCAAAAAGACATTAAAAATGAGTAGGAAACATGCCTGAGTAGATGAAGTTCCTGCAGGGCCCGAGGTTTTGCTCTGCAAATAGAACAGTACAATGGTATATTATGGTTAAAGAGGCAATAAATGTATCACAAACAATGCATGCTGGAGAGCATAACGAAACTATGAGAGGTAACTATTCAAAAACAAATGTTAACATAGAATTTAGTGTATCAAATTTAAAAAGGTGGCAAACTGCAAATCATTTGACAAGATCTAACGCTTCTCATATGGTCAATATGAAGACAAATAAACACACATTTCATTGCAATCAAGAAACACAAAAAACCTAAAAAGTGTTGGCTGGTTAAAAATTGAGAACTGGATTAAGGTGGACATTGAGGTGGCTTGCCAAGAACAAAGTGTATACTTCTTTATCATTTTTTCATCTTCATGAAACTTATTATTTTATTAATGAAGTACCACTCAATCAAAATCACTTGTCAATCATCTTTATACATGTAAACTTAATTGATTAAATCATCATTAATCTGCCGGTTTGTCTCTTATACAATCAATTATTCTTCTTATAATACAAGGATATGATATGACTTGATTAAGGTTTTTAAAAATACTTAGTACTAACTAACCAAATAAATCCAGTAAAAACAAAAGTAAGCAAATAAATTAATGCAAGGCATAAGAATCAGATTGATGAATTAGCAGTAAGTTGCCAACCAAATTTATATTCTACTTCTTAACATGGTCCCAAAAAGATGGTTTGTTTTGGGATCTAATTTAGGATTTTAATTTTTAAATAAGGGCTTTTTGACTTGGCATTATCTTTGCTTCAGGGACTTTATACTATTCGGGTTTATCTTAGCATGTGTTTGGAAAGATTCTGTTGCACAGTGGAATCGTGCGGAGAGAGGTGGGCTACCACACGACAGATGGATTTTGATGGTGATTCCAAATCAGTGTTATCAAATTGCAGCGCCATGGCCACTATGGCGGCGAATATAAATTGCGGTTTTTGGGTTTTCCGCAATGATAAATATTGGCCGCTATTTTGGGTTTTTCCGCCATAATCCGCAATAACGGCGATGTGACCGGTATGGCGAGATTTTGGCTTTCTGCCATGGACCGCCATCACAACACTGTTCCAAATGCAATTCTATCCAGTGCTATGAAATATCCACAATTGCGGCGCTATGACGGATAAACATGGCGATTTTTGGGCTCGCCGCAATGGTAAATATTGGCCGAATTTGCAGGTTTTTCCGCCATCATCCACTATAACGGCACCACAAAGTGTCTGATATGGTAGAATTTTGGCTCTCTGCCATGGACAACAATGATACTATCCAACTAATATATCATCTTATTGAAGTGTTCAATTATTTGCAAACACTTGACAAACTTTTCTGAAGGATATAGCATCAGTACTTTCTTTTCTTATAAGAGCATCTAAAACCTAATTTGAGGGATTAGATCCTAAACCTAGGCTAGACGAGTATTGTAGATTTATTATTCTACAACAATTAATTAGAGATTAATTTTGACCCGACTTCAATGCTCTATTATATTATTTTATTTCCATGCTCTTAAATAACAAGATCTCTTAATCACTCTCCATCAAATGTAATGAGAAGATATAATGTTCTTCGCGGTACACCTCTTTGGATGAGCAAAAAAAGCTTAACTCGCTGAAGGCAAGTTTTTTCTCGGGGAGAATAATGCATAGTGGAGAATCATATTAAAGTTTTGCATTTAATCAAGAACTTGATAATAATCATGTGACCATGTCAATAACCCCTTAAAACAGTGTTTTGGCTTGGCTGTCAGACTATCATTGCATGTCACACCTAGTACTATGTGTGTTACAATTATCCAACGAGGAGGATGCAGCATAATGATAAATTGAAAATACAGCCACCATTTGAGCTGTTTTCAAACTTTAACGCAATTTTCTTTCCTTTTAGATCCGGGATCGTATAATCCAAATAATAATAAGTGACACCATTGTTTAAAACTGGTTTAATGAAGAGAAGAAATAAATATACCTTACTAAGCATGACAACAAGAAAGCCGTCTTCCGAAACCTTATTCTCGGCTAATGTAGTTTCATCTTTCAAAACCTTTCCATTATGAATCAGCAATTGCTGTCCGCAAGGGTAATTATCTTTGCCTTGGATGTCTTCAATATTCTTTTTTACAGCCATTATCTAAAGTAAAAAATAAATAAATAAATAACATGTAGCAACAAAATTCAAAATCGGTCTATTGCATTTTACTAGACATAAATGATTAAAAAAAAAGTAATTAATTTTTTTTGGATTAATTTTTCTAATTATCACTATCATTTTTCCAGCTGACAATGTTTAATTTGAAAACATGATAGCAGATAATTAGAAATTCCCAAACAATTCTGTTCTACATTTTGAGGGAAAACCGAATGTATAAATTTTCTAAGTTTCTAAATAGAATATTCAATTCAATGTGGGAAATAAACGAATCAAAGTGAAAGAAAGTAAAATTGGAAAGAATGGATTAAAAAATGGCGGTAGCAGAAGTAAAATTAGAAAACTGACAGAATCAGAAGGCTGAACCCTGATTTCGAAATGGCTTCCTTTCAAAGTCTTAACGGTGAGCTTCATGACTACTCAGCACCGATCCGATTCCGATACAGCTACGAAGGTGGAATGTATAAAGGGAGAAGAAACCCTAGTAATAATAAAAGTATAGTATAGAAGTACCTTGTATAACTTTCCTCTATTTCACGATAAGCGCTCTTCTCTTCTCTCTTTTTTTTTTTAAAGCTATATTACTATACTATAGTAGCATGCATTTACATCGTGTATGATTTAATCGTAAGGCTACCTTTTTTTAATGTATTATGGATTTCATATTTATTATACTCAAAATTACACCGAAAGAGCAAGCAAACAAATAATAAAATGCATTGTAGTTATCTGAAAAATAAAAAGTTCATTGAATTTTATATATATATATATATATATATATATATATATATATATATATATATATATATATATATATATATATATATATATATATATATATATATATATATATATATATAGGTTAAGAAAATCGTCGTCGCAAATAAATTTGAATTTGAAAATCGGTTATGCAAGAGGAAGGTATTAGCACCTCTCACATATGTTATACTCAACAGAAACCATTTTGATTGTTTTTTGCATTGATGTGTGTTATTATCTAAAGGTTACTTGTAATATAGAAAAAATAAGTTTTAAATTAGTGTGCTCATGGAGGATTTGGACTCTAGTGTATAGTATCCTCATAGTGCAATGAGAAAATTAGAGATTGGTAATTCGGAATAGAAAATAAGTGTGTGTTGGTTGTTCTTAGTGGACAATGTTAACATTTGTATCCTAACAATTAAATGTTGTTTGTATGCTAGCGTGTGGGAGATTTAAGCGTTGTTTGTATTGCGGTAGAACGAGAGTAACATGTCCTTTCTAAAAAAAGTTTGAGTGATGCCCTAAGGCGAAAAAAGGATTTGATGAGTTAAGATTGATTTTAGAGTTAAAGATTTTTTTATTTGAATTGCACTAAAGTCTATGAGGGAAGGCGAATACTTTGGACAATTGAGTCAAGCGTCTCGTATCCAAAATATTCAAAATGGGGGTAGGAATGCTTCATTCTCATCTCTTCTCCACTGCTTAAGGCTCGTGGCGCGCAATTCTACTCGTATATTTAAGTGTTTTGAGTTTATTTACAAAATGATTTTAGTCTTAAAAGAAAAAAGAATAGAGGAAATAAAGAGTCTCAAATATCAAGGTTTTGTTATCTCATATGCTTGTAGTGTCTGTGGAAGAAGATTCATCAGTTATTTGACTCAAATCGCACTAAAGTCTATGAGTGAAGGTGAATACTCTGAACAGTTGGGTCATTCGTCCCGTATCCAGAGATATTCAAAACAATGGTAGGAATAAATCTCTCACATTCCTTTTCCACTACTTGAGGCTCGTGGCGCGCAATTCGCGTTAGAACTAATAAGTTTTAAGGAACTTTTGTTGTCCTTGATCAATAATTCAGTCTCCAGTATCTGACTGACTTGTACAGGTGTGAAGTCTTGAGATCTAAAGCTGATTCAGTATAAAAAATTAGTCTTATCAAGTGATCAAGATACTTCTGATCACTTAACTTAGATAGTGAAAAATAAGCACAGTCAAAGAATTTAGTTGATCAAAGCGGACTTTGATTAACTTAATCAAATAGGATGAAATCAGTTGAAAAAACAATCAGGCACAATGAAAACAATGATCTAAAGCTCTAAGGAAAGTCAAAGTATAATTCTAAAGTTGGCCTAAAATTAAGAGAGCGTCACATTTTCTTGATTACTAAGTTAATCCTAAAATCATATCAAAATTGTAACTAACCATTATTTTTTTTTATTAAAATTAATTAAAGGAATTAATGTTCAATTTCTAATATTAATAAAAAAGAATTAAGGACTAAACCTAAATCATGTTATTCAATTCCTAATTACTTTATGGTGGTCACAAAATTGCATTCAAACTAACTAAAAATGGAAATTAAACAATTAATAACAAGAAGAGGAAGAAATTTAAAAAAAAAAACAAAAAAAAAAGGCGTATGCGCTTGATAATGATATGGGGCAATTTGCTTAATTAGGCCAAATAAAAAGTTCATGTAATTTGTGCCCAGTCAGAGTGGTGCATGATAAATTCCAGAGTGTGATTAGCATTTTCTCCATCTTTTAGAGGTTTTATCCATATTTTCTTTTTCCTTTTTAGAATAAATAAAGTTCAATGTCGACTATGTATTTTTCGCGTAGCGGCAGCGGCTGACTCTGCTGGATAAAAAATTTAAATAAATTCTTATTATTGATAAGTAATAAATGTCTTTAATGTATTTTATTTTATTTTTAGGATATAAACCTCGCTTTAATAATGTAAGTTTAGATTTTGGATCCTCTCCTCTTCATTTTATCTTCATTTCTCTTTTTTCTATCTCTTTCTTAATTTCATTCTCTCTAAAATAAAAATGATTTTATAAAAAAGAGAGTGAAATTAAGAGGGATAAAGAGGAAGGAGAGAAATAGAGAGAAAAAGAAAAGAGAATATCCAAATCTGTAAATTTAAGTCTAAGTCTTATATTTTAATAACTTTTTTGTTAAAAATTGATTTATTATATTAAATTTGAATCTAACTAATTGATGAAAATTAAAATTAAAAAAAAACTTATCATGTATACCATTATCGATTGTATCCTTCTAATTTTAGTCCGCGTGTGAAGATGGTGCGTAGATAATTGAGTGGGAGTTAAAGTTAGACAAAATCTAATTAGAATAGAAGAATTAAATGACTAAGTTGCACACCTTGTCCTTCATTATGCACTAGTAAGTTTGAAAGAAACAGGTCTCAAATCCACCAGGATTAGGAGTAACGTCACGATTAAGATTGGAAACTGTAACCTAAATTTCCTCCAGTGAAGAGAGTAAAGTGAGCAAATTGTTCATGTTGTCAGTTACCAAGCGAGAAATAATTCATCCACAATAGAGAAGTCATGGGAGATGTATGCAAAACATAAAGATTTAGTGAAATAATCCACTACATGTCGAGTGAAATAATCCACTTTTTCTTTCTGGCAATTTGCAATGAAATTCTTGTAACCTTCTTGCAGAATCCATTTTATGGAATTTGAATTGAGAGATAAAGTTAGTTGCTCCCACTTTGGACTCAAACAAAATTAGATACTAGTCAAATCAAATTTTGGTGAGAGTGATAGAAGAAATTGCAGTAAAAATAATTAATCAACTTTGGGAGTAAAACTCTTTGTTTGATTTTCTTTTAATATGACTCGTTCCACTCCTACCATTAGACCAAGTAAAAAAGAAACCAGTGTGTTAGGATGTTTATTAGGTTATTAAGATTAGACCAGGCATGAAAATCAATCATGTGGGTGGTATTAAGAAAGTATAAACCAGAGTGTTCATGAGCTCTTAAAATTAAATTAAAATTACCAATAAAGCACCAATGTAACACAGACCAACATACACAAAAGACATATTCTACCATAGGGTTCTTCTTTTCACAAAACAAGTGGGGGCATAAATAACTACTACGTTAATCTCACACTTATTAAATTCCAATTTAAGAGATACCATTGATCAGTAGATTTTATGATAAATGGGTAGAAAAATCTAGAACAGAAAAGCCAAGGATTAGGCTTATTTCTAGAGTTTATGGAAGAAAAAAAGGTTTTGTCATAATGCATCAAAGAATCTGGGTGGAAAGGAAACATAATCTACCCATGATTCAACAATAAAACATAAGTCAGGTTTGTGAGATAAAAATAAATTCTTAAGATCCAATCTAGTATGAGCATTGGGTATGCCTATGAAATTCGACAATAAGCACTTCATGGCAAAGAGTTAGATGTACCAGCTTTGGACTTGGTTACGTAGAGAATTTTTAACCTAGAATTTTGATTTTGATTTTTTTTGCTAGGTCTAGAAAGCACCATTTGCAATTTATATATGCCAAAATCGTCCATTTCCACCAGATGCTTCTAAATCTGTCAAATTTTCCCAAGATTTTTCTAAAAACACCATGTCTCTTCAGCCTCCTTAGAGCCCATAACAATATCCTTACAAATCTTTGCAGTTTCTTACACAAGTTATGTAGAGCATAATGACTCAATAGATTCCATTGTCTCTAAATCCACATTGTTGCGGTGAGAGTCGAATATCAAACTATTAGTTAACTTGAATCACAAATCTTTGAAATTCACCACTAAGCTTTGATTTATCCAAAGGAAAGGGTAAAGATCGAAGAAAACCCTAAATGCGCTATGTAACAACAAAGCTAGAGATTTAAGATTTGGGAGTTGGTTGTACCTAAGGAAGGTGCTAGCGTCCTAAGTATCTGTAGTACTCTACAGGAACCTCTTGTTAGTATTTGTGTTATGCTAAAGTTTTTTTTGCTAAGATAAGGTAAAGACCTAGGGTATGTACATTAAGAATGCTCGCTAAGACATCACATTTCGTGCCTACGTATCCTGACTAGGATGGAATCAAAGCATTCGTAGTTCACCTAACTAGGGGTGAGGAACTCTTGACTGTGTTCAAGGTTCCAAGGAGAGTAAGTATTCATAACCATGATACTTACATATAGTTAACACACTTTCTAAGTCTAAGTTGAAAGACTAGCTAAGGTATTGAATTTCAATAAAGTCAAAGGGGAAAATAAGTATACATGACAATGGTACTCACATAGAGTTTACAAACTCTAAACCTATCTCTAAGTTATAAAGAAACAATGGCTCTAACAAGGCCAAGAAGGTAAGAGTGAGTACTTATAACAATAGTACTTACATAGGGTTTATAAACCCTAACTTAGAGTTAAGTTGAAAAGGGAAATGGCTCTAATAAGGCCAAAAGGATGATCCCAACAAGGTCACAGGGGAGCAAGGAAGGGTCTAAACTATCCTAAAAACATGACTTACAAATCAAAGAAGGAACCCTTCTTTTGGAATAAAGGACATACAACTTGTAACAATAAGTGTTTAAATGATAAGCTTTAAGGTAAGGGTGATGACAATCAAATTATCAAAACTAAAGAGTTCAAATGAGATAAAAATCCAA